TCAAAACGTTTCGGTCAAAACCCCGGACCCCAACCCTATACAATTTCGATACACCCTAAACCCTAAACCCCAAACCCAGAACCCTACACCCTAAACCCTAAGCCCTATATCCTAAACCCTAAACCCTAAGCCGCAACCAAGGAACATCCGGACTTGGCGGGGAGCTGGGCCTTTGCTGCTTGGATTCAGCGCGGAGAGGAAGGGGAACCCCGCACCTTCCGATATCCCTTGATTTAGGTTCAGGGTTTAGGGTTTAGGGCTTAGGGTTTAGGGTTTTGGTTTAGGGTTTAGGGTTTAGGGTCCCCGAGTACCCTTTGATGGAGCCCTGATGGTTCTTACTGCAGGGTATTTCCGGGTGTCATGGAGAGTAGCTGGGGGGGGGACTAGATAAATCCTAAACCCTAAACCCTAAACCCTAAACCCTAAACCCTAAACCCTAAACCCTAAAATCCTTAACCCTATAAGCCCCTTCTAAACTGAAGCCTACAGCCTCAGAGCCCGACCCCGAAGCCGTCATCTCTGGCTGCTCAAACTGCATGAAGCCCAAACTGCGTTTGGGGTTTAGGGTTCTGGTCTTTGAGACTCTATTACCAAGAGGGTCCATATACACTTCTATGACGGAATTAGTTCCCCAAAACCATAATAAGGATGGTCTTGTGGAACCTAGTTCCATAATGGTAGTACAAAATGAAGCCTCTGGGTTAGAACTTCTGAAGGTCTGTTATCCTCTCCAGGCCTTGATCTAAATCGGAAACCCTGAACCCAAAGTAAACCCTAAACCCTAAACCTTCACAGCTCTAAACCCTAAATCCTAAATCCAAAACCTTGAATCCCCTAAACCCTAAACCCCAAACCCCGAGCCGAGGATGACTCCCTTGGCATAAGCTTTGGCCATCCCACGGACAGGCACTCAATTTGAGCTGGAGTTTGCCATAGGCCCTACCCAAACTCCAACCCGAGAAACGTAGGCTTCTTCGGGTTTGATATAGTATAGGGGCCCTCATAAGATTGAATAGGGGTTTTTGGGGCTCCTTCATAGCATAGTTAAGATAGGGAGCCCTCAGGAATAACATTTGTAATTATCTACCCTAAACCCTAAACCCGTTTTCGGCTTCTACAGTAGCCAAACCCAAACCTATGAGTCTTCTAAGCCTTCAACCCTGAACTCTGAAGCCCTAAACCCGAAATTCCAGGGCTCTAACTTAAAAAGCCATCAACTTAGTGTTTACCTGGACCCCCCCTAAAAAGCCAAATTTCTGTTAAGGACTTATAAAAAAGAAATCTTAATAAGGAGCGCTAAAAGGAAGGTTTTCTAGGGTCCAGGTAGGGTTTAGGGCCAGTTTAGGGCTTAGACCTGAACCCTACAGAAAACGTGAGGTCGAGGCTTTGATCGAACATGGTCACTTCGTTCTGGTGGAGCCTTGCCTCCCGCCACGTGGACTTCATCAGAGGATTTTGGGTGTAGAGTTTAAAGTTTCTTGCGGTTTAGAGTTTAGGGTTTAGGTTGAGTTTAGAGTTTTTTAGTTGTGGGTACATGTGGGTTTGGTCGGTTTAGGATGTGGGTGTTGGGGTTTAGGGACAACTCATGCTGGATCAGTTGTGCGTGGCACTTAAGCCATTGTTAACAGAGGTTACCGGGTGTTTTGAGGTTTTCTACAGCGAGGTGGCAGGAGTTGAGGTTCTTGGATAGCGGCTTTACGCTTTCTGTCGAGTTTGTAGAGATAGCCTGGAGTTTAAGGACCGCGAGACTTGGGCAGCAGTGTATAAGTGTTCTTGTAAGTTCCCTACTTGAGGTTTCCCGAAGTCTTATAAATAAACCCTGAACCCCTCAACCCTAAACCCCTAAACCCTAAACCCCGTACACGGCCTATCGCGGCCTGACCTAGAACCAACTTCTCAGTCACCTGGTTCCCCCTCGCGTACAAAAATCGCGATTCTGTCAAGGTTGTTCAACGGTTGTAGGTACCCTGAATTTTGTCTTTGCTGTTGAAAAACTATGTCTTTTTCTAAAGTTACATTTTTTTGAGATTCGAAGGGTAGTTTGGACCTTAATACAGACCTGTCACCAGTAATCCTCTTCCCTGATAGGGCCTATAGTTAATCAGCATCCGAATGTTTAGGCCTTTAGATTTAGGGTTTGGGGTTTAGGGTTCCATCAGGGGTCTACCCTACACCCTGAGCCCTAAACTCAAAGGAAACCCTAAACCCTAAACCCTAAGTCATCACATTTACAAAAACTCTAAACCCTAAACCCTAAACCTAAAGCCCTAAACCGGTAACCCACCCTGAAGCCCGCAAAATCGCAAGCCTCAGCACCTTCTTCTTGACGGCGGCACCGTGGTTTAGGCAGTCCCAGAGGGTCCATACATACTACCATTCTGGAATTAGGTCCCACAAGACCATCCTTATTATGGTTTTGGGGACCTAATTCCACCATAGTAGTGTATATGGACCCTCTTGGAGTATGTGCAGTAATACCGGAATCGTAGAGGTAACACCGTACGCAAGAGATGGTAGCAACGCAAACCTTGCTGACAGTCATGGCGGAACCACTCCTAAGCTTCTACTGTACACTTCGCGCTTTGGGTTTAGGGTTTAGAGTTTAGAGTTTAGGGTTTAGGGTTTAGGGTTTAGTGCCCGAGCTTAGGATTAACAGCCGAATCAGAGATTTGGGTTTCAGGGGCTGGGGGTTTTAGGACGTAGGGTTTAACGGTTTAGGGCGCGCGGCCCAGGGATTTGGTTGTAGCATCGTCATCGTTGCCACCCTCCTTGTCAGTATATATGTATTAACATCAACATGCCCGTCATGGCTATGAGCGTCGGGTCGTCTGAATGATCATCACGTCACCATCACCTTCTTCAGAATTGGCAGGATCAATACATGAGTACGCTCATCAACATCATGCTTGCTTGTCGTCACCGGGATCATCGCAGGCAGCATATTTCCTCGCTTGACCAATCCCGGCCATTATCAGTATCAGCATAAGCAACAGCATCGTCATAAATTTTGCACATCGTTTTTGCAGCAGTCGTTGCCCACAACTTCAATCAACATGTTCATGTCGTCCTTGTGCTCAGCCTCGGTTCTATCGCCACCATCAACATAACAGTCCACATATGACCACATCCTTGGCATTGTCGTCCGCATGGTCATTAATATCGTCGTCGTCTTCGTGGGTTTATGGTTTAGGGTTTAGGGTTGTGGCTGTCAGCATGATCGGTTATCTTCCGTCGAAGGCCCTTCCATGACGAGCGGCGCGGAAAGTTAGCAATGCGCTTTGCCCCAGACTCTTGGCCATGTTGAAGACACAGGCTAGGTTGTCCATCAATTGTGGAGGGTTTAGCAAACATGCCTTACGAAGGAAGGCTCTAGGCTTTCGACCCCAAACCACACACCCCCCAAATCCTCCACCTTCAGAAAAGCATCGCAAAACAGCAAACCCTCGGGCTCATGCTTAATTCAAATTTTGACTTAATCGGCAAGGGTTTAGGGTTTAATGTTGGCAACCCAAAGTTGAAGCCAAAAAGCAACATCTTCTGAGTTGCCTTTGCGCGACTACTTTCTGGCCCGATGCTTCACACGCACCTTGGCCGAAGGTTCAGGCTTAATGGCTTATAAAGCCCAAGCATCTTGTTTGAAGCTACGACCAGTCTGTTTGCATGAGAAATTCTAAACTCTTTACAATCCTAAACCCTAATCCTTAATTCCTACATGAGCATTCTGGCCAAAGCCGACGCAGAGTTATTAATATAGGGGCCTACATTATTACCAATATGCTTTTGGGGGTTCCTTTTTCTAGATATAGTATAATGGGCCAAGACTTTATTCCAATTGTTAAGGCCCCTATATGATGCGTGTATAGATTCAGCGACCCTATGTCCGCCCTTGACGACATCTGCTGCTTCTGTGTGAGTGGAACAGCAAGGGTGTAGGGTTTGGGGATCATCATCACCACCACCACCACCATCATCATCATCTCTCAAAGCCCTAGAAGAAAAACAACCTAAACCCTAGACCCTAATCAAGGCTTTCCCTAGCCGTTCTGCCTCAATTGGGTGCTGTCTCCATTTGTGCATGCTGTTTCCATCGCCGCACGTCAGGCGAGGCAGCACGCAAGAATCCAGGCAGCACGCATGCGAGGCAGATTGGCCAGGGAAAGCCTTGACCTAAACATCCTTAGATCCTAAGCCCTACACCCTAAACCCTAAACCCTAAACCCTAAACCCTAAACCCCTAAACCCCTAAACCCCTAAACCCTATACCCTAAGCCCCTGAACCCTATAGACCCTAAACCCCTAAACCCTGAACCATTACAGTATCATCAGACAGTGAAGCTAATCCTGTTGTACCAAGTCAAGGCTACATGGGCGAGAAGCGCGTGCTTGGTCTCCCCCCTGCCGAGGAAGCCATCGAAGAGTTCTACGAGGGTTTTTGAAGGAGGTTGTTGTAGAGGTCCTATAGCTGAGTTATTGAAAAGGGATTTAATCTAAGTTACAAAAAAAACTACGTTATTTACTATGGACTCTTATTTTGGTAACTTAAGCTTGAACCCAGGTAGAGGTTCTACAAACCCAAAACCCAAAACCCCTAAACCCAAAGATGTCTGAGGATTTAGGTCCTACACCTTTTAGGGTTTAGGGTTTAGGGTTTATAGGGTTTAGGGTTTAGGGTTTAGGGTTTAGGGTGCCTAGAGGCTCCATATACACTACTATTATGGACTTAGGCTGCCCAAAACGATAGTAGGGATGGTCTTTTGGGGCCCCCAATTCCATAACCCTAAACCCTAAACCCTAAACCCTAAACCTTAGGGCTCAGTTTAGGGCTCAGGGATGAAGCCTTTGGGCCAAAAAGCCTTCGGGGTTTGGCGTTAGGGGTTTGGGGTTTAGGGTTTAGGGTTTGGGGTTTGGGGTTTGGGGTTTAGGGTTTGGGGTTCAGGGTTTAGGAGTAGAGCTGGATGTCGCTGTCAAGTTGTCATTTTCTGTGGCTTCTCTCGTGCCAGGGTTGCGTAGGCTGCAGAGAACAGTGCACATCGACAGCTTTGGAGCTAAGTAAGTACTTGGAGGATTGGCTTTTAACTTGCGTTCTTCCTAAACCCTAAACCCTAAACCCTAACTTCTTAAAGGTTCTACCACCAAGTTTCAGGAACTACGGCCTTGCCGACCGCAGAATAGCTATGGTGACTCCGGGCCGGGGGTGTCATAGGTAGACGTTTTCAGTTCAGTCGGCCGGGGGGTTGAGAACATACTTTTAAGCTGTCTTCCAGGAGATGGAAGAAGCTAAGAGTTTAGGGTTCAGGGTTTAGGGTTTAGGGTTTAGGGTTTAGGGTTTAGGATTGAGGAAGTGATTCTTCGGAAGGCTCTATGGCCCTATAACTCGAAATACCCCGTATCCCGTCTCTTCCCCAAAACCCCATACCCCCGGAAGCTCCTGTCAACTTGCAGAGTGGATGCTAAACCCTAAGCCCCAACCCTAAAACCCTAAACCTTAAACTCGATAGAGCCTATAAACCCCAAACCCTAAACNNAAACCCTGAATCCTGAACCCAACATTCTACAGCCTAAACGGGTGAGTCGGCCTCTTTTGACACTGAAAGGACATCGTCTTCGACTCGAGCTGGGACCTCTTCTTCGACTTTCTGATCGAACTCGCCGCCACCCACGGCGTCAACGTGCCGGTGGATCTGAGTAGCAAGCCGGAGCCCTCGCTGCATTTTACTAGGCGCTATACCCCTAAACCCTAAACCCC